TGCTATGGAAATCAAACAGACTGTGCGACATGCCATTTCAAACCCAGACTGAGTATTGCTTTTGATCCTAATACTTCGACGCCGAGACTGTCCAGATCTCCTGTGCAAACCCTTTTGGTGCGGCTGGTGGCGGTGGTGTTGGTGGTGGCGGTGGCGGCGACGATCACGGTAGTGATGAGGATGATGATAATAATGTTGATGGTGATGTTGACAGTGACGGTGGTGGTAACGATCATGATAGCAACACGGGCGACACAGACCGAGATGGCCATGATGATGCTGACGATGATGATGTTGGTGACGGTGGCAGTGGCAAAGAAGCAGAACAACATCATAAGAATGGTTGGTTCATCTTGGTTCCACCGTGGAAAGACTCATGATTCCTCTCATATGCTTGGTTCCATCGTGGAAGACTTGGAGAGAAGTATCTGAAGCAAGTCTTGATCGCCAGTGTGCTCAGAAGCCCGAGGATCTGTCATCTGCCACATTTCCCACTGCTCAAACAAAGTCACAAACGCCAATTAGCAACTCTTACAGCCGGTGTTCTCTCCGCTAAGCCACTAAGCCTACCTCGTGAAGCTCCGAACTTCAAACAGCTCAGAATCTCAGGTTGTAAATCTCGCGCAGGTCCTTAAAGAGTTTTAATTTAGATCCATGAACTGTCGTGCTCTTTGAGCCCAAAACGCAAATCTACATACGCCATTATACGCCCATGAACCGGAAAATGCTAAAAGCCCCTGCTGCTTACGTCCGTCATCTCCGAACTTCAGCTTCAGTAGCTTTGAAGTATTGAAAACCCAAACGTCAAAGATTCTGAACCCGTCCTGAAGATCTGATACACCGGAGGAATGAACCATGAAGCCCAAACACTCTTGACCCAATGTTACATAAGCCTCCTGCAGAAATCGACACGAAAAGCCTTACGTCTCGTAATCCTTTCTCCGTGCTCAAAAAGTATGACCTCTACCCCACTACCCCAGCCTCCTGAAAGCATTTGCCGCCACAAGACCCCCAATCCTACGACTTCAGACTAACCGGGGCGCAGCAGCAGCGCCGCGCAGGGCCAAAAGGATGCAAGCACCACGAATCATTGCTTACCTCTCGGAGAGGGATGGGGAGGGGGGACAGGGGATTTGTAGGTTTAGCTTCGTGCGCGAGAGCCGTTTAGTCTACGCGAATGCTTCTGCACTGGGTTGCAGCAAGGCTAGGGCCCCAAAGTAGTTCCTTTTTGGGGTTCGTATATAGAACTCTATAAGGTAATCCCAAAAAGCAACTACTTTGGGGCCTATGGGTAGGGCCCAAGGATACGGAAGGAAAAACAGAAGTGGAGCACCTCCCGCGATCACCAAGGCCAGCTCGTGATCAGCAAGAACGGCAGGGACAGAGAGAAAGACCCAGAGAGCCCAATACGGCTTAATTAAGGAATATTATAGCTTAAATCATAGCATGAAGCCTCTTATAATTCAAGTCATATTCCTGAATTAAGGGGTATTGGGCTCTTTGAGAGACAGCGGGCACAGTGATGAATCTGCAGGAGGCGGGGGAGAACGAGACGAGAGAGCGGGAGGCCGAAGCTGATAGCCGCTATATGGGTGGTTGTCAAAATTAGGGGCCCTTTTTTAGGGTGCCCTAAATACTAGGTGCCGTATTATAATAAGGACCCTATTTTTGACAACCGCCCATATACACAGATGTCATGCTAAGACGGCTTCAATCGGTCAATGAAGAGCTTAAGCTTGCCCGCGAAGAGAAGGAAAAACAAGCGTCTGAACTCTTCGCGCCTGGATTTGAGGGAAGCAACTGCGAGGAAAGCGGTTGTAGCTTTGAGCTGAACAGCTGAGACTGCTGGAGGAGCCAGCCGAAAGTGTACGATGTTGCTGTCGGCACTGACCTGGCCTGACCACCAACATCCAAACGGAGTGACCGACTATAATCTCTATAGAATCTAGAAATGCCACGCAGTACTTCCACGAAAGGCATCACTCACATCAGACGAGCACGACGGAAGGCTGACACCTCGCTCAATGCTCCATCATGACAACGACATCGGGAGCCAGCCTGAAGATAGATGCATTGCTGCTGGCGCTTGCGCGGGCTGTGCCAGTTTCAGCAGTTCCAGACGCTTGTTTTTGTTGAGCCTCTACACTGAATCTGATAGATGGGATTCCGGGACTAGCCTTCTCAGCGCTCCATTTTCTGACCGGTCGGGCTTAAAATTATAAGCAACTCGGACTGCGGAGCTACCGGAGAGGTTTTTGAGGTCCCTCTCCTGGTCGTGTCCTGCTCGAGTTTCTCTCGCAGGTCCCCTGAAGCAGTCATGTAAGCTAGTGGCTATAGTGTTTAGCCCTGAAGATGTCATCCTTCATGCCCGGATTCTCCAAGCGGCCAGACGCGGCGTTTAAATGCATCTTGCGATCAGAATTCAGAAAGGACCTGTCTGTGAAACAATCACACAAACACGACTTGTACGTCGAGGTGTCATGGATGGCTTCGCATTTCACGGAAACTTTGGGTTCGATCCTTCGAACCCAAGTGTACCGTGCAATCCTGTATCATACTATACATCTGGGTCCGGGTGTCCGAACTGGAAAACTCTGGAATACCCGGTAAGATATTGTGGCAGTCATGTCTACAAGAGTCCGCATCCTACAATAGCCTTTGTTGTCTGGAACCCTGACGAAAGCGGAGTAAAGTAAGCGGAGTCGGTTCTCACGTATACACACTCGGAGCCTTCGCGGCTCCTGGCCTTCACAAGCTCTTCCTGCAAGGCAGATGTGATGATCGTTCTCCGAAAATCGGAGCTAACAGAAACGAACATTTCCGGGGTCTGTTCTAGCTGTTCTCAAACCTCTTCGTGCCTGCCTGATGAACCGAAGTGTTCCCGGGTGCAGTCTCTCGAAACGAGTGCATTGGAGTCATACAGACCGTAAAGTGAACATGGACTATCCAAATCAGGGCTCTAATTAATATGCAAAGCACCATCCAAAAGAGGCCCGAACTTTCTGCAAGTCCTGCCGGGCGTCGAACTGCGGCGGCTACCGCGGCGATGCCAGCAATCTCACCGAGGCCTTTCGGGATGTCGCTAAAACTATTATGAGTACTGCTAAATTGAGAACTGCCATTTATTCTAATACGGTTGCTACGAGTATTCTTATTGTTAGCATGCATATTGTTGCCATTGGCATGGTTCCCGTCATTAATGTCATTGATCTCATTCCTTATTGTTCATATTCTTAGTCGTACTTGAATCATTACTGTCATTACGATTGTTATACTGATACGTTTGTTACATCTTGCTATTATCGGTGTTATCGTTCTTCTTCTTCTTCTTCTTCTTATTCTTCTTGTTTTTGTTATTGCTGTTAGTGTGTCCATTCTTTATGGCTGCCAGTCTTACTGTTTCTGTTTGTATTTACATTATAGTGTACAGTAGCAGTAGTAGCTGCAGTAGTAGCAGCAGAAGTAGTAGTAGTAGTAGTAGTAGTAGTAGTAGTAGTAGTAGTAGTAGTAGTAGTAGTAGTAGTAGTAGTAGTAGTAGTAGTGGTCGTCGTAGTAGTAGTCGTCGTCGTGGTGGTGGTAGTAGTAGTAGCAGAAGTAGTAGTAGTCGTCGTCGTAGTAGTGGCAGCAGTGGTAGCATTAGTCGTCGTCGTGGTAGTAGTTTTCCGAATAGGTATCCCATTAATGCACTTGTTGTGATGACGGTGATGGTAGCTGCCAACGACATTTGTGTTATTCTCATTGTTGCCTTTGTTGTTACTGTTACCATGATTATCAGCATTGTCATTCTTCTTGTGATTATTGTAACACATATATACATATACATAATTACATACATAGTCTATGTTGTATAGAATCTGTTCGCAAGTCTGGTTGCTCATCGTGAAACACAGGTCACGGGCCACGGGGTTGGACGTTTTACGGTTTACGTTTCCGTGTAAAGGATGGTTTAAACAGGTTTTGCGAAGGATGGGGTGAAGTAAAGCTTGGGAGATAGGCCGGGGTAGGTTGAGGGAAGCCGTTTCGGAGATCTCGTCCACGGGCAGATCGGATTCGGGATGTCGGACAAGCCTAGGGCCTAGGGATCTAAGTGTGCATCTCCGCCCGGATAGAAGCTTCGAACATCGAACTCAGGCCAAGGATTTCGGTGTACTTATGGCAGAATGATGATTTGGCGCAGAATTCGCGAAGGAGGGTTGGTCACGGGGGTAGAGGCACGGGTGGCTGCTGGGTGAAAATCGTTAGCTGCAATGAAAAGATTCGGCTACCAGTAACCAGGGCGTGCGACCCCAAGTAAAAAAGAAGGGGCACGCTATTCGTGAGTCTACTGCCTCACGTTGCTCAGAAGACTCTTCAGCCACTTAATAATGTAGGCAGATAGATTTTTGCCATCCCAAACATAACCCAAAGGCCCTTCTTCAGAAACCCCTGAACCCGAAACCCCGAAGCCCTTAAAACTACAAGCACTATGCCTGGTCCGCTTGAGGAACCGTCTGATAGGTCATAGCCTCGCAGCATCGGGGCTGCGTTCCCTTATTCTGCTCCGGCTCTGACCCTAAACTAAAAACACAAAAATCGCCAGTGGTCTGACACTGTGTAAAAATGATGGCATGTTGTTTCAATGGAAACCATCTGAAGTGTGATGGTCCGTGTTCTAGCAGGTGGAAACATACTCGGGTCGGATATGGTGGATGTTGTTGGATGCTATACCGGCCCAGCACCATAGCCCGAGGCCCCGAAGACTTTAAGGTTTCAGGATTCATGTTTCGGGCTTCAGTTCAAACTCGAAGGTGGACAGCAACTTCTGGCCCTGATCTCATACATAGACTACAGACATACACATACATACCCAGATAATTACACAGCCACATGCATACAAATACACAGTACTACAGACAGACGGACAGACAGACAAACGGACATACATACCTACGTACTTACGTACGTACATACCCTCATGCACACGGCTACTTATGTATGCATGCATGCATGCATGTATGTATGTATGTATGCGTACGTATGCACATAAATCTGTATGTATGTAATTATGTATGTATGTATGTATTTGGGTTCGTTTGTCTCTTTGCGCACATGCATGTGCGTATGCATGTACTGAAGCAAGGAGGTAAGAACTCATGTATGTATGCGTGTATGTACTATAACGTTCATGTGGCACTATACGTGTACGCAGACTCATGTGCGTACGGGTAGGAATGTTTATATGCACCTATGTATGTACATGTATGTACATTGCATGCATGCATGTATATTTCCATGAATGCATACTCGCATGTGTGCATGAATGCATGCTTTCATTCATATATGCAATGATATACATGTGAATGGAGTTGTGTAGGTATGTATGGCCGCACTTTGCGGGTTTGTGTTGCGTGGATGTCGCTTCATATACCCATGTCTTCCTTGCACTGTATAGAAAGCCAGCATCGGACCTAGTTGACTGAAGCATATAAGATATGGCAGTTGTACTTCAGCTCTCTACCTTAGAAGCTGCCCCCACCCTGTTATAGTGACTATAAGTATTATAGTAGGGCCCAATTGTATTCCTATTATAGCACTATTACAGGGTGGGGGCCCCTGCAGCTCTCTGCCGCGACTCTCGTGTCTTGCACTCGCTGCCAAGACTGAAATGGCCAGGACGTAAAATCTTGTGTCGGAGCCCTGTACTACTACCAATACTAACAGTAAAAAATTGCAAAAAACAAGACTACTAACAAGAGTAATCGCAATGATAAGAAGAAGAAAAACAGTAATTACTAATAACTGCAATAATGACAATATGTTGTTATTATCCGACACACCTCATCAAGGCTCCCGGGCTTGGCTCTCGCAGGCTTTCGCAATTCGACATGCAGAGCGAGACTCCCTAACAGACGCTCCGCGATACATTGCATTAACCCGAAGCACTCGTTTTTTCTTGAACTTGTTAGTCCGACCGGCCGTGACTGAAGTTCAACATCTAGGAAACTTGATCCCTACCACCTTTACCGACGGACTGCTGCAGTCAAGCCCCTCTGAGACTCTCAGGCAAGGCAAGTCACACTCGGAACCGTGTACACCGCTGCCGATGGTGTCTGGTAGTACACTGGTTGGCCCGAGTAGTACACCTGCTGTGACCTTGAAAAGCAGGTGCTTGGCTACATCGAAACCGAACGACCGCACGCTGCATCATCTACATCGCTGTTGAGCTTAAGCTCTGACCTCTTTAGAAACAATTCAGAGGCTGCCGTTAATAAGGCAGGCTTGCAGATGAGATTGGAACCTAAATGTGGCGAGCGATGAGCTCCAACTCTGGCTCGCAGCACATGCGGGTGTGGGTCCAGAGTCTCTCTGGATCTTTTTAACTATAAACCTTGCATGGTTACCGGCACCTTGCATTTTAGCCCCGCTCAGAACCATGAAGAAATGCGTCAGACTGTGCGGTTCGACGGGATAACAGGCTGCACAAGGCAAACCTCCCACTGCAAGAGCCAAGTCCGGCACGTTACTGGGGCCATCTGCACAGTACCTCGCTCAGAGCAGCCGCTTGTACGCTTGGTGAAGGGGTGGGCTGGCTGGTTGCCAGTTGCGCGCATGATCTGGCACAGGCTGAGCACAGTTTGTTCTGGTAAACGTATGGATGGAGTCGGCGTAGACATGATGTCGAACATTGCCAAGGAGAGCCACGCCGGTAAGGTTGCAGCAAACTTGCCCGTGATCATCCCACTTGTAGGTTTTGCGCCATAACCCTAAACCCGAGTTTTCGGCTTGTGCGAGTGTAAAACACGACGTTTCGTGCCTACAACATCATATGTCTTAAGCTGATGTACATCTACCCATCTGACGGCCACTCTTGCCGTCAGCTAGGGTTTATTAGACTCTGTCCCCCATGAGCAATAAGCTACCGTTTGTAATCTAGGAGCGAGACTAGTCTGCTCATATCTCATCTGGGGGCTCCTCAAATGGGCCGCCTTGTTCGTGAACCCTTGAACCCTGCTCCACCAAACTATCAAGGAGTAACTCAAACTGAGTGTTGAGAAATACCGCGAGGTGTTCTCGTTTTCCCTGCACTAGTCACTAGAGTCACTAGAGGCCTTGTCCAGACGAGAGGGACAGAATAACACCAAAACAGTTGGGCGCTCTTGCCGACTCTGTTTGCGATTCAGCTACGGGTAAGTAGGTCTCTGAAGTGAGATCCTGATTTTGCGGTCACTTAGAGACTCATCGTTTATAGCTGCACGAAATGTTCCATGCGTGCGAGCTGGTCTGTCTAGATACAAACACGGACAAACCCGAAACCCTGAGCCCTACAAGCCCTGAGCCCGAGAATTGAACCTCATACCTTAATCAGGCTTTACAATGGGACCTGCTGAGTGGCTCATGGGTTGCTACAAGTATTATACATGAGGCTTGTCAGTCGAGTCACCTTAATTCAAATCCATATTAGGGCACTTATAACTTAGAGCCGTTTTGCATAACTACACATGGATAGTTGTCAAAATTATGGTCCCTTCTGGGGTAACCAAAATAATAGGTGCCGTACTATAACAGGGACCATAATTTTGACAACCACCCATATGAACCTCCAAGTAAGGGCAAAGTCTGACGGTGAGCTCCGCTGCTCGGCCCCCGGCTGCTCGTGGCTATCGGGTTCGCAAGGGGTGCCTGGGGCTCGAAAGGTCTAGGGTTTAGGGTTTAGGGATTCATCACAATATATCATAATTATTAGTTGTTGGTTATTATTCATAGGTAACTGTAGATTATTAACAAGCCGGGGAGGAACTAGTTAACAGGCTTCTGAAAAAACTCCGACCCATGCCCTTTAAGTCCACACAGCCCTGAACCTAGTCCTGAAACCACTCGAATCCGGGCTCAGGAAGCTTGGGACCGTAGGGTCTGGCTATCATGGGTTTAATCTCAACACATCCACAACATCAGCAGCGAACTTGCACATAGTTTCTGAGTGTTGGCTGGTCCGGTGTTCCGGGTCTAGCAGAAGGGGTCCAGGATGTGCGCATTTAGTAAGGGCTGAAAGATCAGATGATGCGGCATTTCAAGGTCGTGTAACTGTGAGGATGTCACAGCAAGAACAGTGTCCTGCATGCAACCTGCTGAAGGGCCCTACAGTCGAAGTGCACGACAGTGGAAACCCACATCATTACACTGACTGGTTATTCCTGAATCGGGGGCGAAGCGCTTGGCTTTTGCTAGCTACTTTAGTGCCCCGTCGCTTCATTGGCATGTACTGACATGAAGTCCGAATGTCTCCCGGCCCTGCTCGTTGAGGGGCCCTGCATCGTATCCCTCATGCCTCTTCAATGTCTGCCGCCGCTGCAGCTCTTCTGGCCTGCCGCTTCCTGAAACCATCTGTGCTCAGGCTCAGCTTGTGATATACATTCGCAAGCTTAGATTCAGCTACTAGCCCTAGACCCTAATATGCTTTACTGCATCCGTTACTGGCTCTAGACCCTGTAGTGCTTCGCCGCCGCTGCTGCTGCTGCTCCTTGCTGCTGCTGATGCTCCCTCTCCTGCTTCTGCCCCTGTTCCTAAACGTTTTCTTTCTCCCCCTACGGCGACTATTACTTCTTCCATGTCTACTTTTACGTCCACTTCCATCACTGCTTCCTTGCTCCACTCTCGACTGCTCCGTCGCACGCTGTGCTCTGTGCCGATGGTCTAGGCAATAGATTACGAGGAACAACCCCCGGCAAACTGAGACCCATCAACAACTGGCACGGCCGTAACTTGTACCTTGCTTTTCAAAACTGGTGCTGTGTATGTGTGTGTGTGTGCCGATGGCCCATCTGTCCTGCCAATCGGACCTCGCGTCATGAAGCAGTAGCAGTTCGCGACGACGCAGACGGCAGCCAGCAACATCAGCACTGGCATTGCAGACAGAAGAGCTTCCACAGGGATCACGCAGGGTCTGACGGCACTCCGAATCTAGATCCGATGCCTGTTCGATTGCACTGGGTGAAATGAAGAATGCCTTAAAAAGTCTTAGGTCCAGGTATGCTCGAAGTTGGGTGGACCAGGTTCTGGATCGGACTGTCGAGATTCTCAACTGGCCATGCCTAAATCGAAGCATCCCTCAGGCCCAGATTACTTGGCAGCAGGCATGCAAAAATCTGTTCGTCCTGGGTGTAAGGATGACTTGGAAGGAATGCACAAAGGAGCATCGCAGCCATCACAAGACAAACAGAACATACCCCGACTGCCTGTGCCAACAATTCTACATTAGAATCTACATCGGCTAGCACAGCGAGGACCATCCCAACCAAGAAGAATACTTATCATGCAGACCCTGTCCAAAACAAGATGAGGCGGCAAGGGCAGAACTCGCCACCACAATACTAGTCATGTTTATGCTCTTCTGAAGCCTGGGCTCAAGGCGCCACCATTCTGTATAGCATTAAGGCAAGTACCGGAACGCATGTAACGAACATGGCGTTAGCACTGTTCCGGTTGTTGATTTGTTGTTGGCTCGTAGTAGTCGTCGCAAGAGCAGTCGTCGTCCTGGTGGTGCTGGTGGTGGTTGGTGGTGGTGGTGCTGCTGGTGGTGGTGGTGGTGGTGCTGCTGCTGCTGGTTGTGGTGGTGGTGATGCTGGTTGTGGTGTTGGTGGTGGTGGTGGTGGTGGTGGCGGCAGTGGTGGTAGCAGCAACAACAGAAGTAGCGGTAGTAGCAGTCGTCGTGCCGGTGGTGATAGTGGTAGTAGTAGTAGTGGTGGTAGTAGTAGTAGTGGTAGACGCAGTAGTCATGCCCAGTGGCCCAGTATGTGGGCAGAACTTAGTGGTAGTGGCAGTGGCAACAGTAGTTGTGGTGGCAGCAGGCAGCAGTAGCAATAGCACTAGTGGTAGCGGTGGCAGCAGCAGTAGCAGCAGCAGTAGCAGTGGCAGTGGCAGCGGCAGCGGCAGCAGCAGTAGTAGTTCTAGTAGCAGGAGGAGTGGTCGTAGTGGTAGTAGTAGTAGTAGTAGTAGTAGTAGTAGTAGTAGTAGTAGTAGTAGTAGTAGTAGTAGTAGTAATAGTAGTAGCAGAAGGAGTAGTAGAAGAAGTAGTCATAGGAGCAGAAGTGGGGCTAGGAGTGGCAGTAGTTGCAGCAGGAACACCACCAGACGCAGCAGCAGCAGTAGCAGTGGCAGTAGTAATAGTGGTGGTCGCAGAGGTGACGGTAATGGTAAGAGCAGTGTCACCGCTACAGCCGTACTGTTGCTGCTGTAGCCGCCGTTGCCATCGCCGCCGCAGTGGTCGTCGTTGTTGTGTTGGCACGAGCAATAGCAGCAGCAGCAGCAGCAGCAAGAAGGCCAGCTGTGGTGAAGGCAGCAGGTATTCAAGAGACTTTGGAGCTCCTAAAAGGAATCCAGAGACGTTCGCCTGTCAGCGTGGTCACGTCCAAGTCGCTGAAGTGGCTCTGGCGGCGGGAAGAAAGCTTTTAGTTTGCGGCTGCGTGAATCAGTTCGATAACAGGCAGCCCCGCACCCCACATTCGCTGTGAACACCGTCCTAGACCTGCAACCAGCCATGCGACCAATCACTCTGCATCTCGGTCCTTCTTGTGAGCTGTGAGTGGGTCCAGTGCCACCTGCCAAGCTCGGGCATTACGGGTTGCACTCAAGTAGTGTTTGTAAGATATAACTCCGAATACCGGTGCAATACCTATAGCATCGAACAGCCAAATGCCCACATGACGGGTCACAGGAGGGGCCACAGTCCGGCGACTGATCCGCATAAGTAACAGAAGTCCTCTGGGATGTGCATAGGCCGGGATTTGGAAGAGAGGTGCACGCAGAAAGGTACAGGCTCATGTGTCGATGAAGGATGCAGGCTGTAAGATCTGGCGGTTTCGGGTTGGAAGCTCGGCGGTAATTGGCAAACTTCATTCTGCGGCGAAGCAGTTCTGTCGCAAGAGTATGTAAAGGCCCACTCTAGGAACTCGAAGCTTCGTTGATGGCGGATACATTAACAATGCAGGAGCTTCTGTATGCTTGTAGCAAAGCATGTTCTGCTTGCAAACCAGAAGCAGCAGAACAACCAGTACATCCTCAACAGCTGCATCCCCCACGGGCAGTAAAAAAAGGTACACCCTCGAATCCTTGCCCTGAAGCCTCAGGCAACCGAAGGAGACCGTAAAACCGTAACGGCCAACTCAGGCTTGAATGGTTGCTGGCAGCGTGGAGCCACTAGGAAGCTCAAGCAAAACATGCTCTGCAGAGTGCTGCTATCAAGTAGTTGCCTGGTTCAGTGTCTATCTTCGATGGGCTTGTTGGTACGATGCTGGCAAGGAGGCCAATGACGACGACGAAAGCTTCGCCTACTGCTGCTGCTAACGTGTGCCGCCATGTCTGGTACCAAGAATGACCTGCCACCAAACTGATTCACATACTTCCTTACTTGATATACTTGCCACGCCCCCTTCTGCCACCTCTGCTGCCGTTGTTGCTGCTGCCGCTGCTACTGCTGATTCTGCTAGTGCTTGTACTAGTACTCGTACACAGCCAGTACTACAGTAGTACTAGTACTAGTACTAGTGCTAGTACTACCACTACCACCACCACGACGCCGACGACTACTACTACTGTGACTACTGACTCTGCACCTGCCACTCCTCCTACTCCTACCACACTCCCGCTGCCACTACTACAGCTACTGCTAGTGCTGCTGCTGCTGCTGCCGCTGCCGCTGCTGCTGCTACTGCTACTTCTACTGCCACAGCATACCGCTGCTGCTGCTGCTGCTGCTACCGCGGCCACACGACGACGGCAACGCGCATGGCTCTGTTGGTTGGGAATCCGGACCTGTCCCACCATGCCAGGAACTGCACCCACAGCATGCTCCTGGGAGAAAGCAGAAGCAAGATTCGGGATACGAAAGGGTGATCCTCCACAGGCTGTACACCCAAACCCAGCCTACATCCATGGCATTCCATGGCCGTAGTTCAGCAAAAGCAGTTTCGATCCGAACGAAGCCGCTGGTTCGGGCACTAACGGGATCATGGTGGCAATGATGATGAAGACTAATTATGCTTGCTTATGCCAAGCAAAAAGTTGTGCACATTCGTTTGCACGTAAAGCACAATGCAGGTCCAGCTGCCCATGTGAAGCTGATCGTCATATTCGGTTATGCACGTGTGAACACGCAAGCGGTCCATCCACCACAACACACATCACAAAGGTGGCATGCCCTTTGCAGCAAGAGCTCCTGAAACAAGATGCCATGATTTACCATATAAGTATAAAGAATGATCGCAGTAGTAATAGTAATCGCAATAGTAGTAATACTAACAATAAATATACCTATCAGGGGCTCCAACCATCCCAAGCAGCACTCATACGAAGCTGGCACAAGGCAGTCAAAGAGTCAGAAACGAGACCCAAATAGTTGTAAACCTCCACTGATTGGTAGGTACACCAGGTATGCTACGTTACATGGTCGTATATCGTAGGTGTACTATAGCTATATAGCGATTTCGATTGTAGAAGCGTTCAAACTTTGGTTTGACCGGTACAAGCCTCTGAAACCATCTGAAGATGTCAGCAACCTTCCAAAAGAGAAACTCTCTGCAGTAGACTCGGGACCCCCACGCCGGCACTATTGGTAAAGGCCTCCTGCAGAGGTGAGCTGTTGGATTGTCATGAAGCACCTATAGTCTCCATTGTAGTTCCTTTTTTTTGGTTTAACCAAATATATAGTTGGGATCCTATGAGGTAACCCCAAAATGGAACTACAATGGAGACTATAGGCAGTTCTTGTTTTGCGAAAACCTTTGAGGAGAGCGGGCTTCCCTCACACGAGCTTGATCGAAGGCAAGCAGGCAAAAGACCTATGTGCATTTGTTTCTCGGTGCCTGTGCTTCTTGTTGACATCTTGTTTTCACGCAAAAGATTCATAAAACCACGGCAGCTTGCTGATGCTCTTTCAGAGGCTCTGTGTCGAGATCAGACGTCCTATGTCGAGCGACTGCTGCAATTTGTAACTCTCATGAGTGTGGCTTTGTGCGGAGCATAACGCATGGGGGGCTCAGACTTCAGGCATCTGCTGCCAGCTTCAACAGAAAGGTTTTTGGACTTGAAACCAACTTCAGGAGGTTTGAAGCTGTCAGAGCCTGGGGTGTCATTCACCTGGACCATCACCGAACAGCCCATCAGCACCTCGGTCACCTAGACCTGAACCTCGCAACTTCAAACCCACATCCAATGGGTCTCAAACCTCTGGTTTCAAGTCGGGCACAGAAATGTCCCTTGATGAAGTCTCGAGCTGGTACGTGACGAATGTTGCACCAAAGTCCGAACGCTCCAAAATACTTAGAGTGGTGCATTAAAAGTCTGCCCCTGCGTGCCTTCGCAGAGACAATGATTTCGGGCTCGTCTTCGTCCGAGGCATCCTCGCAGGCAAGAGAATCATCTGGAAGCGCTGCACATGAAACGAAATTTTGGGTCACTACCAATCCACTTCCGGCCCGATCCTTTAAAAAGAAAATGCAAGAAACCTGGATGTTTCGACTCCTTCTCCCAGATAAAACCCCCAGCGCGGTCCTTCGTAGGAGCTAGCCCTGTCGATGCTTTCGCAGTTGCCGCCTGCATTGATCTACGACTGCTCTGTGAACTACTTTCAGGGCCCGAGAAGGGCACCTTCTGGACTCGTAGACAGAGCTTAGCTTGTTCTAAAACCAATCACTTGTCTCAACTTTGCACCTTCTCCCGACCTCTTTCTCTGTCTCTCTCTCTTTCCCTCTCTCCTTCGCTCCGCGCTCCCACTGCCTTTCTCCACGGCATCTTGCCTGTGGCTGTTGTAGGCAACGGCACAACAAAAAGACACAAGTAGTCTCTCTCTGCGTGCCTTGGCAGGGGCCACTGTTGGGATGATCACGGGAGGCAGAGTTGGCATGTCCACCTGCCAGGCGCTCGTATGTCGAGTTTTGATGTCTTAGAGTTGACAACTCCCACCGCTTCGGTTGAACCACCAAACCCTGGACAAACATATGCGGAAGCGATCGAAGCAGGACATGGCCAAGTGGCTTGAAGAACATAATCGATAAATCGACGGCATCTTTGCCGTCACAGGAACTGCTAGGGCAAAGAGGGCGTCTCCATGCGAGCCTTTATAGGGGCGACGGTCGGGGTGTCCACGGGGGCCACTGTCGGCACATCCACCTGGTAGGCACTCGGATGCAGTTAGAAGGGAGGTTTGAGAGGTTCAGGTTCACGCCCTGGGGGTTAGCGGCTGTGCTGCTTCAGGGTGTGGCATGGGGGTTTTGCCGATACTGAAGCAATTTCTGAGTAAGCGACGACTAACCTGTGGAATGCATAAGTCGGATACAAGCTACGACAGCGACAAGTCGGACTCCCGGTCTCCAACATCCTGTTGCATGCAGGGAAACCTGCAGCGACACACAGACAAAGCAGTCTTACGTTATTCGATCTGAAACTTTTGGAACCATCAACCATTCCCGACAGCATGTATGGCAACAGGATGCCCATAGTCTTGTCTCGCTATTGGTTCGAGTAAATACCTCCGAAATCGAAGTAATCGAAGATCGCTACACCGACGGCAGCATATCGCCGACATGGGAACCGCTAAGGCGAATACAGCATCTCCCTGCGAGCCTTTACAGGGGCCACTGTCGCGCTGTCTGCGGGGGCCAAAGTGGGCGCATCCACCTGGCAGATGCTCGGATGCTGTTAGAAGAGATATGTTTGAAGCCTTCAGGTTCACGGCTAGGTTGTGCTGCATCAGACACCGGGGTGGGGCTTTGTGCATATTCCACCGACCACCAAACTGGGAGTTAGATACTGCGGCAGCTACAGAAGAAGCGGCTAGCCTCTCTTTGTTTCGGGGAAATACACGAGGTAAGACAGCCGCTACCAGTCGCACACCCGTTCTGCAACATCTGTGTATGCAATTTTTTCAGCGCTGCACTGGTGTTTTGTACTAATTAAACCAGTCTTGCTGCATACGACCTCAGGCTGTTGAACCGGGGACATGGAAGAGGCAGGAAGGACAATTAGTTGCCAACATCATTGCCGTCATGGGAATCGCTAAGGCGAAGAGAGTCTCTGCTCGCGAGCCTTTACAGGGGGCACTGTCGGGGTGTCCACGGGGGCCACAGTCGGCACATCCACCTGGCAGGTGGTGGGATGCAGCTTCTAGGGATGCTTGAGGGCATCAGGTTGACGGTGCTAGGGAGTGACATGGGGCATGCCGATATTGTGCGAAAACATGGTAGATATGGATCCGGGTGCATATAGGGAGGCTACACCCCGTAGTTTGATTGTGCCTTGCAAAGTCGAAACAGTCTCTGCTTTATCCGATCAAACATGCCGGACCTCCGGAAACATCAGTCCATTTGTCTGTCTTTCAGTTGTGCTTGGGTCTTGGATGGATCTACACCCAATGCTTCATCCGTCGTGGATTTGGGGCGTAGTGCGCCAGCCTGGTCCTGCTAACTCGCTCAACAGAGATAGCAAATTGGGAAGCAACCAGAGGGGGATATGGAACAAGCAGGAAACAAGCTGACGGCATCACAGCGGAATCGCTAAGACAAAGAGAGTCTCTGCTCGCGAGCCTTTACAGGGGCCACTGTCGGCGTGTCCACGGGGGCTACAGTCGGCACATCCACCTGGCGGTGGCATGCGGTCGGATTGCTGCATCGAGTGTGGGCGACAGCCGCTGCCAGTCGCACGCCCGACGTTGCTTGTAAGGAAAGCTCCAACGCTGATTACACTGGCACCTTGACAATGCGCGTATAACTTTGCAAAGGCACGGAAGACACTTTCCATAAACTAGATATAACTGCATCTGAAGAGCTAGTGTCTCGCAGTTGCCAGTCGCACACTCACTCTCAAACATGTTGTTGAATATCTCGGCAGCACACTCGTGCTTGGACAACGGGCTCAGCTTCTCATCTGACGGCGATTTGGGCCCACAAGAATCCATGTGATGAACGAAATATTCCAAGCCCTGGGGCCCTGAGTGCGCAAACTACATGTTCGGACACGACCAAGGGAGGACACGAGAGGGAAGACACAAGAAAAACACATGCGATCAATCCGCTAAATCGTGTAGGTCTGGTGCAATAGAAATCGCTAAGACATGGAGTCTCTTCTTTGCTGCCTTTGCAGGAGCCACGGTTGGGGTGTCCACGGCGGGTGCCGTAGCTGGCACGTCCCCCTGGCGGCCGCGAGCTTAGGGGCTTAAAGAGCTGACGCATGCTGGATCAGAACGAGGCAAGGTTTAGGGTTTAGGGTTTAGGGGCAACATCTAAACTGATCGCCAAATCACTCGGATAAGTCAGTGCTGGGGCAGTATGCGCATGCGAAGCAATCTGTCGACGTGTTCTGACAGATACCATTTGCGAAGCTGTTAGCAGTTGTTCGGTCTTAAGGTTTCGTTTGGGCTTCAGGACCTCGTGTGCCATGCTCGTACTGTGATGATGTGAACGCAAACGATAACCAATCTCACCATCCAGCTGAGGGCTTAGATCGGGGGCTGATTCAGCACCTCATGCTTCCTGACCAGCTGCGGCATAAATTGGAAGCGCTGATGACTTTTGCACATGCTCACCGACGCATGGTTCAGGCCCCTGAAAAGAAGGCAAGTACCCGAAGTGGAACAAAACAAAAGCATGAGCCTCACACGATGCAAGTAACACACACAAAAGTGAAATTGTTTGACCAGAAATCAGCAGCGTCCTGGCTGCAATGTTGCAGCCGGAGCGGCACGACAAGGGATCAGTCCCTGCGTGCCTTTGTGGGGTCCACTGTTGGAGCGAGCACGGAATTGACCACATTGGCCATGACCTCGCAGTGGGACGTTGAGAGGGACACGCCCGGCTCGCTCCACCGACAGAAATTTCATACTGAAGCCGTGCGAACCAGCACAGGATCTTACGACTGACCACGTCTGATAGATGGTCGTACGTAACATGAGTCTCACTGTCACTATCAACCCCCTACTCTGTCCCGCTTGCCCGGGGACGGGCTTCAAGCCCACCCGCTCCCTGCACGGGCTTCAAGCCCACCCGCTCCCTGTTGGAACGAGAAGGGAAGTGGCGAACGCGCGTATAAGTCTGCAGGTCTCTCTCTCTCTCTCTCTCTCTCTCTCTATCCCTCTCTCTCTCTGTCGCTCTCTTGTGCCCCGCATAAACTCCTGCACACTGCTATGAAGCCAGTCTAATTGTCTGGCGCAGTTTTACATGGCTTGTGCCTCGTAATTATGAACTTGGACATGCAGCCCCAAAACAGAAATAGACAAGGTGCGTTGCATCATGAAAAGGAAGCGGAGGAATGGACAACTACTTGCATTCACTCGCAGTTCCGTCTGGCATGGCAATGATGCCAGTACTCCTCACAAGAGATAATGCAGGAGACTCACCAAACACCGATGAGAGCTTGGGCCTAAGTAATCAAAGCCAACACTCGGCTCATATTCCCAATGAAGTTGTTCGACCTGCTTCTAGCCATCATCTCCATCTATCTCGTACCAAGCTTGTCCTCACAAGAGTGAACTTGTGTTGTTGCAACAATGGGTACGTAGGCTCCACCTTTGCTCCAGCGTTTGTCACGTACTTCACCTCTGTGACATTCCTGTGTTGGGGGGATTCGGTGCGTGTGTAGCGATGGCAAAGACGAAAGCCTGGCCGTTTCGAGATCCGCTAGCTCGAATGGCGTGCTATACTCACGTTGCAACGTCATTGAGAATCACCTGGATGAGTAACTACGGTATGTGTCGGTTCCCTGGAGAGTAAGAAACGTAAAGCACCAAGCCCACACCCTTTTGCGAGCCTTGACTGGTTCGCTGCTGCTCCCTGCGGGACACGCCTGACGGCTGGAGGCTATAGCTCCACAGACAGACACACAAGCAGCACGTACCATGCGTACAAAGATCTGCTCATTCTGGAGTTGCAGGCGAGCTTGTCATTATCATGTATTTTCACGTGCCACGTACTTCTGGTCGCCAATAATCAATACGCTAGCAACCCTCATGAGTCTTACGGCTTGCTAGAGTCTGTCCTTTGAATCTTGAAAGCCAAGAGCCACTGAGTTCGTCCTTGCCTTCGGCCCAGATGTGGCCAGTGGATTCACCACCTCGCATTGCTGCGGCTACAGGAAGTTCACGGTTGTAGTTGCAAGGCACGTACATGGCATCGATGCAGGCGCTACACATGGCACCCCGCCTCCGTGACGTTTCCATCGAGAAGCCAGCATGCACCACCTGTGTGACCTGTGGCATTCGATTCGGACACCCAGCTCTTGAAAGTAGAGGCAACCTCAGGGAATCCCGTTGAGACCCTTGCCTGCGCCCTGAACGATAGATGGCGTTCTGAAGACATGTACAGAAGATATCTCAAACCCGCAACCTGCAGGTTCGAATCGAATTTATGTTCCTCCATGCTGCGTGCGCACGGAAATGCTGCACAAGGACGGAGTGTCATGATGCTTCGGCAGTCGGAGGAGCATATGCAAGGGTGTGATAGTTGGCTCCCTCAAACGGATTTTCAGCAAGGGCCCGCAAGGTGGTCTATCCATTAGGCAAGCCAACAGAACATCTGTGTTGCAACCGCATTCCTGGCTCCCCTCCGTAGTATCTCAGGCATGCCACACGAAGAAGAAAACTCCTGCATGCCGATGGTCATGTGAGACAGATGGACAGTCATGTACATGTAGCTTTCTGCGACACAAACGCTCCATGGATACATGCGAGCACACATTGTTCACAGGGTTGCGTTTTCGGTGCGAACAAGGTGAAGATCCTCAGGTGCTTGGGGGACTTGGTCTGTTTTGGTGCCCTGGCAGCACTGGGCATGGCATGCTTGGGTTAGGATTTTGGTGTGGGCTTCGGTTCGCCTTGCCGAATCTACGGTATCCCTATGACGCTTCACCCACGAGGAGCAAACTTCGAAGCAGCCCATGGCACAGAACGAAACCCCTCGGCTTTGCGGACCAACAACTACTTCCCAACACCCAAACTCCCTGGAAGGAGCAACACCCGCAAGGAAACATGCCTGGGACCGCAGTCGAGTCATAGCTGAACCTAGTGCAGATGTCGGACCTTGAAGGGCATTTCACTACCGTGATATACCATGAGAATAACGGCCTGGGGGTACATAGTATTGTATAAACGTATTATGGAATCCTGCGGAATAAACTTCTTCGAAGTAGGAGCACTCTTTCTGTAGGATCTTGAGAAGAATTTTGGGGGCTTGCAAAGACTTGTTAGGGTTGTGGTGCTCGGCGGTCTGCGGATTCAGGGCTTCAGGGCTCTTGCGTTTGAGGTTAAGCTTCCGCTTCCCGAGGGAGGACATCAAAGCTTTAAGACTGGAGTTCAAGGTGTGGGCAAACTTGTTCCAGCTTCAAAGCTTCAAGGCTCTTGGGTGCGGGCTCGCAGGGTGTCGATTTAAGGTTTGAGGGCCTGCGGAGGATTTTCGACTCTCACGCTCGGAACTGCAGGGATTGTGACAACCTGTAGCAAGTCACTACGGAAACCGAACGAAGCTACACCTGCCAGGCCCAGCCTGCTGGCTACCATGTTAGCCTACAGAAAGATGTTTCGCAGCAGCCAAGCTGCATAGGTCTGGGGCCTATAGCATTACCTCGCAAAGCTCTTCCGCTTTCCCATGTGCACGAAAAATTTGGGTGTGTGTATATATGTATATATATACACATATACATATGTACACTGTATGTATGTATGTATTTAACTCTGTCTGTCTGTCTGTCTGTCTGTCTGTCTGTCTTGCAATCCTCGTCTGAATAGCGGTGCAGCAGCAGCAACAGCGACAACAACACCAACACCAACACCGACACCGAGACCACCACTGCCACCAGCACCAGCACCAGCACCACCACAAGAACCACCACCACCACCACCGCCGCCGCTGCCACCACCACGACCACCACCATCAGCAACAACAACAACAACCACCACCAACAACAAGAAAAACAAAAGCAATATTCAAACAACAACAAACGAATGACACTACGAATGAGAAGAACAAGAATAGCTTTAACAATAACATGAGGCATGTGAATGATGACGCAAAAAACAACATCATAACTGTCATAACAAGAACAAGCATAACAATAACACGAACAAGAACCATAATAACAAGAATAGGAAGAATAATACAAATAATAGTAGTAGCCATACAAATAAGAATAATCATAACAACAATAATAGTAATGACACCGCTAACAATAGCAATGAAAATGCCACTAACAAAACAATAGTACTGATAGCAACTAATACTACTATGACGACGACTGCTACTGCTACTTGTGCTTCAGCAAACCCACTTCGACCGCGACCGCAACTACGATTACGACTATTATGGAAACGACGGCGACGACGAGGACTACGACAACTACGACAACAACAACAACAACAGCTACTACGACTACGACGACGACGACGACGACTGTTATTATTACTACTACTGCTACTACTACTACTACTACTACTACCATATACTACTACTACCGCTGCTGCTACTACAAATACGGCTACTGCTACTATCAAACATACACTTGTACCTGCAGAACATTGCAGAACTTCAACTTCTACTGCATCAGCGTAGGCATCCCAACCACCACCACCAACGACTGCACCACCGCCATCACCAAGATCACCGCCCGCCATCACCACCAGCACCAGCACCCATCACCAGCGCCACCAACACCATCAGTTCAGTCTGACAAGGAGAAGTTACCTACATATTTGACGAACGTATGCAGCAGGTTGCGATAAATCATTGTACTTGCTTATACACATATTGGCACGTGTAGAAACAAGAAGTGGATTAATATGCCTGGAGAAACATTCAAGAACAATCATATCCAAAACGTAGCCTATGGGAAAATCTAAACAAGTGATTTCAATACCGATATCGAAAATGAGTTTTACGACTGCTCAGGTATAAGTTTTAGGTTTAGACATGGGGATTTCGGGCAGGAGTGCAGGTGGTTGCATATTCTGAGTTTCCTTAGAATCAGGGATTCTGGTGCAAATTCTCCAACGCACTCGGAACACCAAAACCAGCAGAGAAACACTCTTCCGGCATTCTCTCTGGATATTTGCGTGCTTGATTTCGGGCTGCCGGGTTGAAGAAAGCAGACCCACAAAAAACTCAAAGCATTTCCGGCATTCTCTGGGGAGTCTTGCGTTTTGGCTCTTGCTTTCGTCTTGGATTGGGGGGTTGAAGCTAAACCAAAGCAGAGACCCCCTGAGAAGGACGGAATCGCCGGGGGGGCGGCTTGGGCATAAACAAACAAGTCCATATGTGCACGTAGTATACATCTAATTCCATATACATAAACAAACATGCACATGTCAAACCAGGCCGAGATACGACTTGCAGGCATCCTGGCACGCCTGTGCGCTTTCGACATAGCCGCCTTTGGGCGCTGTTTCAACCACGACCTCGAGAAGGCTTCGCACGTCGTTGAACAAGGGTAGAATGGGCGTTTACTTTCCTACACATTTGATGAGGGGCTCTAAATAAATCGATAAATACACAATAGTTCAATATATGAAATATAAATATATATTTTATTTGTTTATATTTGTATTTGTATTTACACACATATATATATATATACATTCGTTATACTGCCAGGCCGCAAGGCCAACATGATCATCCCTCGAGTTGCGGGATCTGACTTAGCTTCATCATGATGACTCAGATGACCGCAACCACTGGCGGAAGATGGCACTGGATTCTGCGGGCCGATGGACACAGGTTCCGTGCCGTGTTCTCACAGAAAGGTCGGTACACGAAACTCTTCCATGAAGTGACTTTTGCGGTGTATGCAGGCTAACAATGAAAGCTTGACATAGCACCAGCTGTCATGGGCGTGTAGCCAATAGCACTTTAAGTTTGTGTGGCACGTGCATCTGTGACAGACGCTGTTACACAACATAACCTTGCGGTCATCGTCCTCACATTGTTACGCAGAGCGAAAATTTACTGTCAATGCTTTCGAATGAAACTCAAGATTACGTCTAGCGGAGTCTAGCGTACCTGGTGAATTGTCACTCTTCGCTACTTGTACTTGCTTTTGGCCAACTCACTACCTCATGGCCTCCCACCTCTGCTCTGCATGTATATATGGGTGGTTGTCAAAATGAAGGTCCCTTTCTCGGTACCTTAAATATTCAGTGCCGTATTCTAAAAAGGACCCAAAAAGGGACCCTAATGTTGACAACCACCCATATGGAAGTGGTAAGTGCCAGGACTCCTCAACAGTCTGGATGCTTGCAAGGCTTGCTTCGCGAAAAGAGGTAGCTGCGAATCCTCATGCATCTTGAGCTCTTGATGTTTGGTGATCTTTAGGCGTGCCGTGTTTGATCGATTTGCTTCGGCAAAACTGCTGGCTAAGTGGCACCCTTCCCAGTGTAGATGTGTGTCGGCGTCGAGTCTTTGTACAAGATGCCTGCAGCGATTTCAGGTCAAAGCTCCACAGCCTGTCGACAGCTTGCCTACCCAAAAGATACGCCACAGGTGTCCCCTTCATGGCTTCGTTAGCCAGTCCACCACTGCGAGTAATTGACTCTGACTCTCAGTGAGACGAACGACAAAGCAACCTGCTTCATCTACGAGGGGTGCATCAAAATCAGAAGTCTTCTGAATGCGCTGAATACGAAACATGGTGGATAGGACGGATCCTTTAGCGGGACATGGTCCTTGTTGGGGTACTTGTGTGATGAAAACCTTGGTGCCCCAAGTCAAGACGAATTGTGGGCCAAAATGGGTCAAGCGTGCGAGAGTTTCTGGGCTTGCACCCTCATGGGTCCCCCTGAACTTATAAGGGTTCCTAGAGTCCTAGGGGGTTCTATCGGGGTTTAGGGTTCAGGGTTGGCATTTCTCCGCGAAGTTCTTTGAAGGCTGGATCCCTGCCTTCCCGAAGGCATACCAGTTCAGAGTCTGCCAGGGTTGCCTCAGGCACGCTACTCCATTGCAGCAGTATTCTAGATTCACGCATGCAGTGCATGTAAGTCGTTTGTCCGCACCTACCTAACCATCTGACTATATACCTACACAATCTGCCTACCTGCACGATGCACGTTTCTGCACACATAACGCTCCCATCCCCACTCCCGGAACCCCGGCAGTGCCAACCTTTGTCTCTGAACGGGCCCGGGTTTTTGACTGACCGGGATGGTCTTGAAGATTCTGTCCCGGACTTCAGACGTATTCAGTCAAAAGCCTGGGCACTTCTGATTAGACGAGAGTTGCTTGGATTGAGCCCCTGGCCACCACGAGGCTCAGAAAGCGCAGCGCGCCCAGCATGGCCTGCTCTTCGGATTTAGGGTTCCAATGCTTGAGTCGCATTCGATGCCGACATGGAGGCTTACAACACACACGCAAAACACTTACTAATCTTGCTGCCGAAAACAGCTGAGAAAACAGCCTAGCTTGTGAAAGCATGTCCTCATAGAGTCCAAGAGTGTAGGGGCACAGGAGGTAGAGTTTCGCCGCCTTACCTCTTAATTTAGCTCAGCTTGAATAGGTGCCTGCATTTTGGCGTCAAGACTTCCGTGACACAGGGGCTTTCATCCCCAAAACCCAAAACAGGGGTTTGGTGGCGTTATATGATAAATCCACGATGAGGAACTTGATGAGGAACTTTGTTGAATAGTATCCGTCATGCTTAGGGCTTCTAAAGAATCTAAAATGGCCGGGACAGTCCTATGGTGATCCATCCATGAGGACACACATCCGCGAAGCGGAGGTTGAAGGTGTTGTTAAGTTAGGGTGTGGAGCTGAGGGCTCAGGTTTATAGGGATTACAGTGCAGGGTGCGATCACCCTGGGACACGCTAGGCGAGGTTGTTGGTGTTTACTCGGTTAGAGTTTGAGTTTGGCCAACATAATGCGATGCTGATGAGCGGCTAATCAGTCTCAAACGGTTGGACAACAGGACCGATTTTGGGGGTAGGCTAAGCAGCAGGACGCTCATGTACTTCCAGGCTCCTTGAATGAGACTTGCGAGACTTTCGGTAGACCAGCTGCGGGGCTTTTGCATATTCTACAAGCGCTGGAGTCACGAGATGCAAAGACTAAATACGCACAATGCAAGGAAGCCGAGGTCATCTTCACAGCCAGGGTTTGGTGTTGGCTATTCTCACCATTCTTTTGCCCTACTGCAGGGCTTAGGATTTCAGCTTGTTGGGGCTTGGGATTAATTACGCTTCAGGGCATCTGGGCGGATGCAGCGAGTGGAGTGGGAGTGGGGTGAAATGGAGCGCGGGGAATAGAGCGGCAATAGTGTATGTCTCTGAGTGTGTGCGCACGCAAGCAAACTCTGCACATCGCATGTGTATATCTTCCCACACACCCAGATGACAAAGTCGCACCGCAGGGAGCTCGTCCGAAACTAGTCACAGGTTTGCAAGTCCCAGGTCTGTTAAGGGTCGCCTTACTCCACAACCAGCAATCAAAACCGATAACAAAGCCCCCCTCAAAAGCCGAACTCGCCAAGCTACCTGAGCATGTGTAGGACCTATAGGATACGGTGTCAGACTCGACTCTAGATCCCACTATAGTAAGGCCAGGGTGAGGCCTATAAGTTCAAAGCAGTAAAAGGAGTGCACCCCCAGCACCTTTCACAACATGGAATTCCCCAGCAATGCAACTGCTCAACCGCATTCCAAACGCAAACCTCCGCCAAAAGTGCTGCAGCTTTCCCTTCAAAGCCTCACTCTTGTACACCAGCGGGCGATGTGATACGTCTACCGCTGGGAGTCTCCAATAATAGCCAATGGCTGCAGCGCTGGCAGAGTGCTTGGGTTCTTAAGGGAAAGCACACCCGCCGACAAATTTGCAAGCTTCAACTTCAATTGATTCATGGCAGCTTCCCCAACACTTCGGCTTAAACCCGCTCCGACGCTCCCAAACTGGGACTGTAGAAGGTGGAGGTCGGAAAAACGTGTTCTGTGAGAGGTTGTGGTGTAGCTAGATTGCCGGGCGTAGCAGGGCCGAGTCACCTACTGCATGAGTCATTGAACCCTTAACCCCCCCAAACTATTAACATTATAAGCCCTTCATGCTACAAGTAGGTCGGTAATTCGGAGCTTTAATCTCAGGCAGCAGGGACGCTGTATAATGGCGCTTCAAGACTTCGGGCTGTACCACGCGTCCTGACGCAGCCTCGCGAGTTCCTCCGGCAGAGCCTGAAGCTTTCTGGTTTGGGGCCTACCGGGTCGCTACATCGGGTTCAGTTTGGGCCTTCAGGTTTGGAACCGTGTGCTTTGGCTGAGAGTGTAGATGGAGTCTGCACGCTATCTGGAAGAGAGCAAAAAGAAGCAAAGGGGCACTGGGCATTGCTTCACTTGGCTTCTAGATGGGAATGTGTCGGGGGTATGCTGATGATGCCACAGCCATCTGTGAAGTGAAGCCCCCTCAGCCCTCCAACCTGTTGTAGGCTTTATAGCTTTTCCGCTTTCTGGTCCGAAGCCGAAAATTCTCAAGCTGAGAGAGATTCTGAGCAATAGTTCTTCGGCCCCAATATGATGGACTTCATGCAGACTCCGGCAAATGGTCCTTCAGAGATTTACTGCTTCAGGGGCAAAGTTGTCGGCCTTGAGTTCTCGGGTCTGCGTGGTGTGTTGCTCTCCATAAGCCCTCGGAGGGTACAGAACTACGGTGGCGACAGCGAGGGCGGCAAAAACAGCTCCCGCCAAGCCTTGCGAAAACACACACTAAGCTTCTGGCCGTGGCATGCTGTGCCTGAGGTGATTGTATTCCTAAGGTCAAAACCCCATCTAACACAAGACTCTGTAAACTTCCCGAGCCGAGGGCCCGACAACGAGGACACTAACATTTTCGTGATGCCATAATCTGCAAAACCATGCTGCTTCATACTCGGTGCGAATCTGCTCACGTCGGGTTCATCCGAAATTCTACCAAGGAAAGTTTCCCTTGGCAATGCATTGGCCTGGAACCATCGGAAAGAACTCCGAAGATGTTGGCGCAATCTGTTCTCTCGCATCTCTACAGGCTCTAACCGCGTCATGTTGCGGCGAATACCTATGGTTCCCAATAGGCAGAGTCAGGAAAGGAATCACAAAGTTCTTTCCAGCCTGACTGTCTTCAATTACCGACGGCTGGCCAAATTTAACAGCGACAAGGCCCCAGGATGGTACGTCTGGATAAATACGTCCTCTTGGCCACGTTTCCTGCGCGAACTACTCACAAACATGCGGCCTCACCAGCTCGCTCTACTCTAAAACCCAGCCGCCCAGAATTAGGCACTTCCAAAGGTTCAGGTGATGGCTGGTGTTGCATGGCGACAATCACCAATCACCATCACGGAGATATACGCCATCTCTTGTTCCAGATCCTAGAACCCTCAGGCTCCAAAACACACAAACCTCAGACCTGAAAGCCGTGAATGCACCCGAGCACTCCCAAGCAACCTGACCCACCCAAACCTGAAAACCCCCGGCAAAGGCCCTACAGTCCAACAGATTATAACATAGTATATATCTAATATAATACAACATAACATAATATAATATAACAATATATTCTATATAATATCGGTCAAGCACCCGGCTGCCATGATCGGGGAGCTGGAAGCAGACACCTGGCTTTCCAACCCTGGAAAGCGGGGCTGTCGTTCTCACGCTATGATCATGGCCATCGTTTCAGCCATCAGTTTTTGCCTGACTGATGCTGATTAATGACTACGACTTTGCAAAAAGTGAGTCTTGCCCATGTTTTCTAATGATTCGTTAACTAATGCCACTATTGTGAATCGACCATCAATTGCGCCGAGAGTTGCAATACTAGTAAGCTGTAGGCATGGCATGTTGTGTGGTTCAAACAGCCTGCACAGCAGGCCCCGACCCGTCACGGAAAATTCTTGTAGGGCCCCATAGTCGACTGAAAGACTGGCATTCTGTCTTCATCCTTGGAACTCTTCAGTTTATTGGAGCTGCGCTTTCACTGTCTTATCAATTTGGGCTTGCGGGCTTAGGGTTCCCCCCCCCCTCCTCGCCGAAGAGACCCGGGCCTGTTGCTGCAGCGTGATGACCTGCCGGGTTTATGATTTGTGATTCAGAGAATAGAGCACTGGCCATTCGTACAGTAGCGGCGTAGCGTTGGCTTCACCGACGGATCCGAATCTGAATAAGTAGCCGGTCTTTTCTGGGGCATCAGCGGTCGTTGCCAGCAGGCCCGCTCCCCATCGCCGCCAATGAAACACCCGCAACAATGTAGAAACCACAAACGTCCTCCTGAATTACTGGCTCATGGGATACACCCTGAGAGAGAAGCACCCATGTTGGAATTATACTCCAACTTTCCAAGGAGGCGCCTACGCAGGAAGAGAAGAAAATCCGCATTTATGTTTGCTCTTCTGCGATGCATTGTTCATGTATGCGTCTGGTGCTCGGGTATACACTGCCCTTCTGTCGCGGTAATGCAGCATCTTTGCCCATGGAGTTGCTGTCTTCTGCGGTTTCCTGTCGCTTTCTTCGCAAGCTACCCGCACGCGTTCGTTGCTTCAGTC